TAGATACGAAGCGCAAGCCGTAAGAAAGTAAAAGCCGATTTCTCCTGTCTCTCATTTACCATTAGCAGCTATTGGCATGTACATTGAGTACTATCTAACAGGAAAAGGTTGCTACGTTATACTCGCCGGGCGTAACCTCCTTGGTTTTAGAAAGGTGTAGCGAGCGTTAGGCCGCAGGGCCATGAATACAGTGAACTAGTATATACCATGAACTCGAGGTGGTTAAAGGTGGGAAGCAGACCCGAAGCGCAAGCCGTAAGAAATTGTGCGTGTGCCACCTCTCGTTTAGTCCTTGGAATGTCCGCTGAATGGCGGTGCTTCTATATGGGGAATATAGGATGAAAAGATGTGAGATGGTGGTACTTGGAGTGTTGAATAGATGAACGAACGGACACACAGACAGATGCATGGATGGACGCATGAACGGACGCAGGGCGGATGCATGGACGAATGCAGGGACGGACGCACGAACAGACGTATGCACGGACGGGCGGATGGACGCATGGACGGTCACATAGACCGACGCATGGACGGACTGAAGCAAGAACGAATGGACGGACGAATGCTTCGCCCCACTCTCCATCATTTACTCCATGGTTATGCTGCCATTTTTTTCCTCTAATCAGAGATCTTTTGGTTTGCGGAGACGTAGAGGAAAATCCTGGACCTCTTACAAAAAATCCTATACGAGCAAAGTAAAATCTTTACAACTATATACAGGAAATACAAGTAACGCAAAATGAAATGCAGAAGAACCTATAAAAGCTAACAGAAAGAACTGATGACATTGAACGACGGTTGAGTAGTTTGAGTTTGCCGAGCTCGAAGATTAATGGCATCGAATCATCAATAGCACACTTTGAGGAACAATTCGCGATAAGGTTACTGAACGTGTTGATGATTTAGAAAACAGAAGCAGAAGAAATAACCTAATAATTCATGGCTTACATGAAGCTAGAGCCGAGACAACACAAGACTTAGAACGGAAAGTAAAAGAAGTATTTTATGAAAAACTAAAAATAAATGTAACCGGCATTGAAAGGTGCCACAAGCTTGGTGGTGGTGAAAAACATTTACTGAAACTATTTACAAAACAGGCTTGAAGAAAAAGCGGATATAAATTCCGTCCAGTCATTCTTAAATTACTTGACTACCGAGAAAAGAGTGCCCTGCTTAAAGCATCACATAAATTGAAGAGAAGTTACTTGTCACTATCTGAATACTTTTATAGGCGTGTACGGGACACTCGAAATTATGAGAGAGTTCTCAGAAGTAAAGGCAGAAAAACATGAAAGTAAGACTGGTTTACGGTAAGTTGAGCATTGACCGGATTTTGTTCGGTTGGGATGCCGAAAGAGGGTCTCGTTATAAGGTACAGAAATCAGGTTCTCATAAATGACAGTCTAAACCCAAGCATGGCCCTTCAGGAATACTTAACGTAAATTGTAGGAGCATGTTAAACAAGCGTACAGAGTTGGAAGGAATTCTTTGCTCGTATATCCCAGATATCGTTATCATGACAGAAATATAATTCACTGAAGAAATATATGATAATGAGTTCATTCAACTCGGGTACGGCGCGTTTAAAAAGGACAGGGGAGGCAGCGGCGGCGGTGTCGCCATCCGTTCAAAGAGAGCATCAATCTGGTAAAAATGCCTGATTTAGTAGATGTTGAATGCATTTTTTGTAAGGCCTACCATGAAAAAAAAAAATAGATATGTTATAGTTGCTCTGTACAGACCTCTGAGCTCTAGTGTTGATGTTTCTGATTCTTGAAAGCTATACATGATGCGAGCATATCAAACCAAGTGACCGTATTATCATTTCGGGAGATTTTAACCTGCCAACTGTTAATTGGGGCCACAATGTCGCTCAATAATGATAACGACAGTTTAGGAGATGCCATGCTTGATATTGCCTTCTCTTTTAATTTGTCATCATTAGTTGATACATCTGCCTGAAAACAAGGTGATAGCGAATCAATTCTGGATGTCTTCTTTGTAAGTGGAACTGACGTAGTCAATCAGCGTGCGATGTATTTGCCTGTATATCGGATCATGAGGCTGTGGTATTAACAATAAATAATATGAACCGGAAAGAGAATTGTAACTCTGCAAGTGTCCAGAACATCACTAGAGCTGAAGATGTTTTCGTTATAGACAGGCTTTCATTTTACTTAGATTCTTTTTTGGGGTGTTGTAGATGTTCAGAGTTTGTGGGATCGCTTTAGGTATACTATTAATGACTGTATTGAAAAGTACGTACCAACTGTTATTAAGAAAAAAAAAAATCCCTGGCTTACTCGGGAGGCACTGATATTAAAAGGTAGCTAAAGAGGTTAAAAAACAAAACGAAAAATACAAAATTGTTCCACCAGGTGAAAGACAGAAGTATCTCTCTTTTTCATCCAAGCTTCGCCTCGAGTTATCGGCTGATAAGCAACATTACTATAAAGAATCACTGCCTAAATTCATCATGGCGTCTTCACAGAAATTTTGGCAAGAAGTGTCACCAAAAAATCAGCAATGTGATTGATGTATTTGAAGTTAATGATATAAACTTGCGAGATGAAGAAAAAATTGCTAAATCGTTTAATGATCATTTCCACTCCGTTTTTACCTGTGATAACGGTGTCTTACCTGTTTTGCAGAACTCTTCGCCCGCCGTTTCTGATGTGTTAATAAGAGAGCAGGCAATCTACCACATGCTTTTAAAACTGGGTGAAAAGAAAAGTTTCAGCCCTGACAATATACCTAATGCTTTCCTGAAAAGATATGCCGAATGGACTGCAAAATACTTACACATTGTGTTTTTGCGTTCATAAAGGACGGCCGACTCCTGAATGACTGGAGAACAGCCAAAGTGATACCGCTTCATAAAAGCGGTGCCAAATAGCGTGTAAAAAATAACAACCTACATCTTAACGTCCAGCAGCTGCAAAATATTAGAGCACATTATACATAAACAGAAGGTGGAATATTTAGAGGAATATAAAATCTTGACAGAATGCCAGCATAGATTTCGGAAAGGGTACTCAACTTGTACACAACTAGTAGCTAACATTCATGATTTTTCTGTTTTGGTAAATAATGTTAAACAGATCCATGCAACTTTCATGGACCTTTCAAAAGCTTTCCACGAAGTATCGCACAGTAAATTATTATTTAAGTTACGTTGTCTGCTTAGAAGTTCTTGTCTGAATAACTAGATTTCAGCGTACCTAAACAATCGCCATGAGTTTGTTACATTTGAAAGTCATCAATCTAACCACCTGCCAGAGCAATCATGTGTCCTTTACTATATATAATATAATATATATATATATATATATATATATATATATATATATATATATATATATATTATATATATATATATATATATATATATATATATATATGTATATATATATATATATATATATATATTAAAAGACATTTCTGTAAAAATAAAATTGTACGAGGACGACTGTGTTCATTATACCGAGGTTAACGATCAATCGGATCAGGCACTTTTAAACAATGATTTCTAGCATGTTGCTTCATGGTGTAAACAATGGCAGATGCGTATAAACTACAACAAGACTGTTCTCATGCGGGTAACTGGAAAGAAAATGTCAATGTCCTTTCTTTTTACATACAATTTCAACAGTGTGAGTTTGTCTGAAGTGTCCGAATACAAATATCTTGGGCTATGGATATCAAATGACCTAAGGTGGAACAAATATATTCATTATCTTACAGCTATTGCTAATGGAAAATTATTCTTTTTAAAAAGAACATTAACTTTGGCTACCCCTCTTGTAAGAAAATTAGCGTACCATTCCATTGTCCTACCTGTTTTAGACAATGCTGCTGTTATATCGGACCCCACACACAAAAGATAATATTCTGAAGCTAGAAAATGTCCAAAAAAGGGTCATACAGTTCATCTATAACAATTTTCGACGCAGCTTAGTACGTGATCTGCAAGCTCCAGCTAACTTAAAGCCCTTAGCCGAAAGAAACCACTCACCCTCATAAAATTCTTATGTCAGTTAATCAAGGGGCGCTATAACGTTAACACTAGCCAATGGATTTCGTTCTCCTTCAGTTATGCAATGCGCCAAAGACACTAACAATCTCTCTTTCCGTTCTCACAACGGCAGATTCAAGTACTGTTTCTTTTTTTTTTCCGAGAACAGTCACAGATTGGAATAGCCTTAGCAGCAACATCGTTGAAGCAACTTCTTTCTCGGCATTCTCATCGTTTCTTGATGGCTGAAACATGATCAGTTATTTTTTTATAGTTACTGACTGTTGGCTTCTCCGTCACCTGTTTCTTTGTTTTATTTGCACCTACGGTAAATTCTTTGCTGGTCATTTAACATGAATTTGTTTTCTTCAATGAATGTGCCTGTTTTCTCTTTATTATTATTATTATTATTATTATTATTATTATTATCGCAATTTTCCTGTACATAAATCTTATGCATTTTTCTTCATGCATTGTACCTCACCCAGCTAAAACTCCTGAAAGAAATGAGTATCAATAAATAAATAAATAAATAAAAATAAATCATTAATAATCTTCTCCTTGAATGTACTGATCCATCCACCTCCCCTTTCATTCCTTCTCTCCCCCCCCCCCCCCCCACGAAAGCTTTTTCATCCAACGTGCTTTTCCAACGATCGCTGGCACTGCACCTGGTGTCACACAGCTTCGGTGATCGGCAAACCTTTGACCAAGGAACGATTTCGTGTGATGACGTCATCCGGTGACGTTACGCTTTGTGAAATAATGACGAATTCTCAATGACATCGCGCATTTTGACAATCTGTGATATCAGCACGGCGTCGAATGCTGAAGTCATCGCGCAACGACTTGCTGCATCAGTCGTGTTGTCCGGGACGCCGACGGTCAAATTTTGCGTTTGTTAAAACGTCCATGTCTCTCGTCTTCACAAATGTGGATAAACGTAGATTTTTTTTTTATTCGATTAGGTGGTCCAGGTACGTACCTTCCGGAGGCGCGGCCCATTGCAGCTGCGCCGCGGCGGCGTCCGGCTGCCGGCCCGCCGACGTGGCTCCGATGGCGGCTGGCCTGAGCCTGGAGGCCAGATGGCGCGGGGAGGTCTTGCAGCGCTCCTTCTTGCTGCCCAGCGTGCGGAAGAGGCGGCCCAGGCCGGTGCCACCGCCGCCGCTTCCGCTGCCGCCCGATGCCTTCTTGGAGCGGCCGGACTCCGCACCCCCCTCACGACAGTCTGCGCAGGAAGAGAAGGCCACAGATCAAGACAGGTCGGCCACTTCGGGGAATACAGGTACACGTTGCGTGGCACACGCAGCGGATAAACGAAACCACGAACACCATTCCTACTGCCAACTTTAACGGAGACCGAATCGCACGATTCTGGCAACCGAATCGAATCTTCAATAGGTTTCGAACACTCTTCAAGTACTACGCGGCCATTTTGTACAACTAATTAAAACAAGGTCTTGTTTTACGTTTTGGCACACGTGTAGACTGCTCTTGTGCCCCTGCGACTGGACTTCGCAATTTTCGATGATGTTACGAGCCTGGAGATTACGTGTTGTATTATTTTCAACCAGTACGGTATTTGTGTCAACTGCATTTTAAGTGAAGTATACAGTGTTGTGTGAAAGGACTGTATCTTTTGTTCGCGAAGCTACATGAATTAACATGCGTGAATTCTCCCTAAGGTGGTCTTTTGTGTTTTGTTTCATTGCTCGGACTTTCACGATTCTTATAAGGCCTCAAAAGGGTAGCCGATGCCATATAAAAACGCTCACAGAAACATATCATAAATACCATTTATTTAAAAAAATAGGTCCTATTCAGGTGTTCCTAAGGTTCGCACTTCAACGACAAATGAAGCGTCAGCGACTGACAGGCAGTATCCAAAGAAAGTGCCAATAATTGTATATCGTACAATGACAATTGTTTATGTCGGTGCAGTTTATGCATGAAAATATTTGTACACTACTATCGAACAATACTCGTTTTTTCAAGCAGGCACTCTTCGATTCAAATATCAAATCGAACTGGACATTTCGATACTACAATATCAAAATTTTCGAATTCTACTCCCTCATTTATCTTGAGCACAGTAGCAGGCTTTTGAACAGAAAAATCACTAAGAGGCACAAGACACCGCAGGCCAAAGAAGGTGTGTGAAGGGATACGCATATTTTCGATATCATCAATAATTATAGATCAACCATAAAAAATTGCGAATGAGGAGGCTCAACGTGTGCTCCTTGTAGGCATACATTTTAGTGTTATTGTTGTTTTTTGTTGTTAATGCAGCCTAATCACTGTATAATCGCCGACCCACCTCACCATGTCCACGATCACGACCAGGTAACCACCAGGGCGATCACGCCTATAGAAGACACCAATCACTGAAGACCTGGTATGCTTTAGCAACGCAGGCCTTCAAAACACAGGCATGCGGGTGTAACCGTAGAAGAAGTACGTGAATATCGTTAATTATCTATCATCAAGTCTCTCATCCCATCAGTCACCTGCAGCTACATAAAGCACTTGATGACGAAATCTTCGCATTTGTGCATACGGCTACGTAATATTATTTCGGCGCACTTTGTACCCCAGGGCAACGCCGTGACCAAGGAGACATAACTCGATTGGATCAAAATTAATGTGCGCGTTTCACACGTTACATTCTGCATTTTTATAGGCACTTACAAAGTTTCTCAGCGTCCTCCACACTGGATAAAACACAAAGGGAAATTGAAGGAACGGACAGCTGGTCAGAACATACCTTGAATTATAGCCCGACATTTGAGAACCCTTCTAGCGATTAAATCATCCTTTGCGTGCTTCATAATCAACTTTAAAAGAGCGCCTTATCTGCTCTATAAAATCATCGGTCAACCGGGCACGTCCTTCTGTTTACAGTTCACTGTAAGAGCCACGCAGGTCTTGTGGCAAGAGTAAGAGCCATGGACTACTGATGTTGCACTTCAGGAACTGTTCCTCTTCCCCCACCTCTGAAAGAATTTTCATTTTCGCATCCACAGCCAGGCTTGCTTCCTTTTCAAATCAACCTATGTGGGATAGGAGCAACGGAGGGGAAAAAAAGGAGGGGGAGCGAAGGGAGAACTGAAACATTGCTTCAATAGAGAACGCTACAAAAACGACAATGTATGCTGCAAAGCCGATATGATAGAAGCAGACAGCACCGATCAAGTCGACGACACGCATATGTAGTCATAAGGCTGAGGAGCAGGCTTTGCACGGCACTTTGTCGAGCTGGGTGGGATCCTCATATGCATATATATAGGTCGAATTCGTGAAGGCGGCGAAGAGGACAGCTTGTCAGCGCCCCGCATGGCTCATCACACTCGTATGAAGAATAGTAGGCAGTGAGAAAATGGAGCCTCGTAGTGAAAACAAGATGAGCACTGGCGTGCGTCAGTTGGTCATCCGTATTTGGCTCGAATCAGCGAGCTAATTTCCGCGACATGTAGCCACAATTCACAGAAGCGTTATACAACGACCATATCTAGGGATACATCGTTTTACCTCACCATATTTCGAACAGGGAGTTAGTTAAGCCCTCATTTCAAGGTAGAATCAGCGAGTTCAAGCGCACATCTTTCAAAATACAAACTATGCCTGAGACGGCTTCGCCGACATATATCATGGGATCGACTCACGAGCGGCTACAAACTCTGACCGTTTACGTTATTTGGAAGTCGAGGCCAAAGCGCCTAGCCATTCTTGAATCTGGTATTACCAGATTCCTTAAAGTGGTCATTGTGGTATACGTGATTTCCAACACCATTTCTTTGCAAGTAAATGCAAGCCTATAATAGCGATACGTTTCGAAGATAAGCGGGATCAGTCCTTGTAGACCATGTCGGGAGCTGTTGCGCTTTTTTTTCTCTTCCATCATCCGTGAGAAATCGTAGAATACTACTGTCATTGAAACATTAGGCGATACAGAAGATAAAACAATGCACAGATAACAGAAGCTCTTGAAACCGCAGTAACGAACACTGATGAGCATTCCGTTCGTGTCACCTGATATTGCGAAGCCTCGCAATTACGAATAGCGCGAGACGTGGCATCTGAGAACGTAAATGCCACTATACTCTCTTCTCCCAGAGTCCGCTGAAGTCATCACCAAGAACGGTCTGGAGTTGACGTCAACTAATAGTGTCGGTGGAGGTCCCCGCAGACTATACTTACGCAATGTGTGTTATGTGTGTGTGTGTGTGTGTGTGTGTGTGTGTGTGTGTGTGTGTGTGTGTGTGTGTGTTATGTTAAATATGCGTGTGTTATGTCATACGCGCTGGAGTTTCTCGTGACAGGAAAGTAGTAATTAAAGACGACACAATTACGCAAGGTCCGGGAATGATTAATGACATTGCAGAAGCTGCAGCAGTATTTCAGGAGTCACTCCTTACAGGGACAGCGAAGTCAAATAACAATTTATGCCAGAGTAAAAGCTCAGTGTATGAAAACGTCTAAAACGACAACATTACCAATAGCGGTGCCCTACTCACCCAGAAATTAATGCAAATGCATGAGAACACACGCGCTGCAAGTAGGACAGTCGCAAAATGATCGCGATCATGTAAGAGTTACCACCTATATTTAATCACTAGTAATCAAACTAGCTGCACTAAATAAAGAAATTTGCGGTCACAAGGAGGCGTAATAAAATGCTACTTGTGCGTTTCTGTTTGATTCATGAAAAAAAAAAAGAACCACCGACGTGACTAGGACGAATGGCACGAATGGTTCAAAAGTTCAGTTTTCGCCTGCAAACATAAAACCCCTATACCTTCGAAAAAGTACAACATTCTTCAGATCTGCGCCGCTTACTTCCTCTAGCCGACTCGAAAGCAAACTGCAAGCTCGTGGCGCGTTACAGGAGGCGCCACTGTCGCAAGCGAAAAGAAAAAGCAAAGCACCTGAGAGGAGGCGGCGTGGGGAGAGCACATGGCGGTACTTTTACAAAGTATGGGGGCTTTACGCAAACTGGGCATATCGTGCTATATGACGGGACCCAGTTGAACCAAACACGTCTGCTACCTCGGAGCCCATAGCAGAAAATTTCTCATGCCGCTAGGAGGCGGCACTCACCAGCGACGAGCTGGCCGACCAGCTTTGGGCCGTCCGGCAAGCTAAAGATGCCGCCCGGGTGCAAGGACTTTTAGCGGTCACCTGAGGCACCGCCATCATAATCGACGGAGAGTGGGAAGGGACAGGGGTTAATCCCCTCTTCCACTACTTCGCCCGGTAAAAACTGCCGGACTTTAAATAAGATTCATTCATTCATTCATTCATTCATTCATTCATTCATTCATTCATTCAACGGCCTTTGTTGCTGCTACGGCTCCTACTACTTTCACTGGGATGCTAATAGTGTCGGCGGCGGCGCAGTGAAGCCGGGCGGGCAACGTTGTGTACGGCAACAGTGACGTGAAAGGTTCTAATTGAGGCGGGTAATTTGAAGTGGATTAACCCGATGTGGATCACTAAAACGAGATTTATTTCAAGATAAGCCCTTTTTTGGCACAAAAGTAGCACTACGATGTTTGCGGACCACTACCTCAGCAATCAAATTGGACTTAATATTTGCTTTTAGTGTACCTTTAATAAGCTATAAATTTAACAAAACTAGCACGATCTCAGTGTTTGCGAAGCCTATAGAACAACAGATAGCAGAGATAGCTTATGCAAAGACATACGGTAGCGTTTGTGTTCTTCTGGCCCCCTCGCTTGTGTTCACGTATGCCCGCCTACCACCTATTACAGATGAAGTGCTGCCTGCACACGATGACTATGGCTTCATCTGCGGCTGCGATCTGTCCACCCTCGCCCCAAAAAAGCGCCTCGCCAAACACTCATTTGTCTGCCCCTCTTCTGACTCGCGAGACGCGCCCACTTCTGTGCCGAAGCGCAGTAAATAAGCACGACGTGGCTGCATTGCGACACGGCTCTCTTAATGGTTCCCGCTTTCAAGTCGATTTGAGAAAGAAAATAAATGGGCAAGCCAGAGAGGCGCTCAAATGAAGTCGCAATTTCGTCACTGCTCTCTCGCCGCGGTCCGCGCAGGACGGCGGAACTGTCAAGACCAGAGATTTACGATACAGTTAACTGTGCGTTGTGTATATACCACCACGCTTTCGGATACGGTTCGTAGACTGCCAGCTTTGTTGTCTCGGAATCACACGTTTCACAAGTACACAGCGATTTTTTTTCGCGCCA